ATGACTGTGACGGGATCTCTGTGATGCAGGAGGAATGATGTTCCTAGTAATGCACACAATACGACTGCCATTGTTATCCAGACTGATTTCTCGAATGGTTCTATGAATAGACGATTCAAGGAGCGCTGACCTTTTCTGTGTTCAATGAAGAAACCTATACGAACCATACTAAGGGAAAAAGAAGCCGCTGTCTTTGACTGGATTGGTAAAGCTGCCATATCCACCAACAGATTTAAATCGCTTTCTACTGTATGATTCAATGTGATCTCAGTGGATGATGTCCATACGTATTTTGGTGTAAAATTCATCATGACTGCTAAACTTTCAACAAGCTCCCCGGAAATACCACCAGGATTTTCAGCATAATCTGGATTCACGTATGGTCATTGCCAGGGCCATAGTAGCACTAATAACTGGCAACCAGCAAGATTACTGACTTTGGGAGCGAAAGTTGGAATGTATTTCACGAGCGTGCCCTCACGGTAGACTCCGACCTGAAAGGTATATTACCGATAAAGATATCTGAAAGAAACGAACATCAAGAACTTTCTTCGATTAGGACTGCGAATGCTGAAGCATCAATCCTTGTCCTTGGTATAAAATGAAGAATGAGCCACGATTGTCCGAATGTGGTCCTTGGACAATCCTCGCCCAATTCTAATCTTTCACCATGGAATCAATAGAGATCCGAGATGGACTCAAAATTCGGTCAATCGATCAAAATTTTTGTATACTCTGTGACGAGGCATATTCATTTATTTTTTATTATTTTTCTACATATGTTTTCCCACTACACACTGCCCCCTAAAATGTAAATCCCGCCACCGTTGGATACCCCTTCCCTCACTTTTCCCCTCATCGCCCCTCTACCCCTGCCCCTGGACATCACGGAGACATCAGCCGAAGGAAGACATCAGTTCCGGCCCCACCCGATCAATTGGAGAAGCCATCGCCTCCTGGAAATTCCCCATACTAGACCCCCGAATATTCAACACCAGCAATAATCCCTTGCGAGACATCCCTGGATTGTGGTCATCGTCACCACTCACCCGTGCTGATTGGCCCCGATTGCTCCCGAATTAAAACCCGAAGGACATCGACACCTGACGAACCCCCACGAATCGCGAAGGAAAAGAAGAGACCGTCACTCGTGCATTAGCTGCCCCGTGAGTCGCCACGTGCCCCGAAAGTAGTAATAGTGAATACAGTAAAATTCGCCCGGAAGTATTGGCGGATAAAAAGAGGATTTTCGATACATCGAGCTCATCCCAGCTCTAGTATTGGTGCCCAGGAAACCCCGAGGTGGAAAGGAGGCTCTCCAGGAAAACGCCCTGGTATTTTGAAGGAGTGCAAGGCGCCGGTGGAATTCCACGTGTTCGCCAGAGTGAAGTCCCATCGTGAGTACGAGTTACCCCCCTCATTTTCCCTCTTGACCCCACAATATTACCCTTCATACCCCCCAACGGTGAGCCTACACTCTTTTGTTTCTTCCCCATTTAGTTATTCTTCTTATATTTAGTTGCATTCCCTCGACACGACTAGCTTCTCCCCTTTTTCTGCATTAGAGTCACTCCCTTTTTTACGTGTACAAAAGTTGCCTGGCCTTACCCATAACCCTAGATCCAAGTAAAAGGCATTTCAAGCGTCTTACGACGATCTATTATGTAAATTAATAGAAATATAGATATTCAGTTAATTTTATCCCTCATTTGTCCTCATTATTTAATTGCCCTAAATCCCCCTTTTAGGAAATAATACTAATTAAATATTGAAAGGTCACAACTCACTTGAATCAGACGAAGTTTCCCACAATTCTCCTTGCTATATTCTGGGACCCCCATGATCCAAACTTCGGCGGTTTCATGACTTGTCGCGACGAACATTACATTCCTCGTGATGGCTTTGATCTGAGCAGCGGAGACAGCACGTCGCAGTTCAGCCAATGGATCGCTGCTAGCATATGTCAGGCAAACGATGATTCGTTGATGATGAACGTCACGCAGGAGACGCATAACAGATTCCAATTGTTTCGGATCATCAACAGCAGCCAGCCAGATGCTCTCAAAGTACACATGGTCCATCTCAGTAGTATCAGTACGAATCACGGGAATCGGTGGATCAGACTCGAAGAGATCGTGTAGGATTCGATCAATGAGTGATGTCTTCGAGGTGCGGTAAACTATGACTGTTCCCACACCACCGTGTAATTCGGCAATCAACTTGTGAGTGCAATGAACCAAGTCATTGTTTATCAGTGAATGGTCGTGGGTGACAGACAGTCCTAGGCTCACGCCCGTTCGGAAAAGGATCGTCAGGAGGAGCATGGAATAAGGATCCATCTTGGCCGACACCAACTGGTTGACTCACAACCAGTCGGAACAGCACATGAATTCTGATACTTCAGATCGTACACGCATTCCCTGTACTTAGTCTTGTAATGAAAGAGACATATTATCAACCGTAAAAAATTGCAGGCATTGCCAAACAAAGTTGATGCCAGTTCTTGGAAAAAAGCGTGACGTTAGAGTGGTGACAGACGATTGCATCCAACTTTATGAGGCAAACCGTGGAAGTTCGCTCCAATAACATCGGCGATGTCTATGCGTTATCAATGTAAGCTCCCGTTGAAAACAATATTTCAAATTGGAGTCTAATCTGCAATCTCATTCAAACAGATTTCGACAGAAACGGAGACAGCTATACTGAAGCAATAAAATCGCTCCCCCGGAAACACTTCTTTAAATTACTTCGCATTGGAATCAATAGCTGTTACAGACACTTTTCATGACGAAGTTCTAAAAGCTTTCAGTTTCTTTAAACAGCCTTTTGAGCTACACTTTCAAAGCCTTTCTGAGACAGCATCGAAATTCACTGGGACAAATCCTAATTTTCTTGTTCTTACCCCCAAAATTAGTGATGCTGCGAGACATTTTACGAGACATCACGAGACAAAACTTTGGAGAGACAGTCTCGGTCTCAATGAACATGGAAATCTTCGCTCTCATTCTCGTGATGATTCCGAGTCAATTTATCTCATCTCGGTTCTCAGTTTTTCACGTTTTTTATGCGTAGAAAACTCAGACGAGATAAGCCGAGACAAAAACCGAGATTTCGCATTAAAAAACACTAAGAACTTGAGTTGGAGATGAGATAAGTTGACTCGAAGTAATCACGAGAGGAATCGATACTGTATCTTTCGAGACTGAGACGAGAGCTATCGACTTTTCCTCTGAAAAAATCCAAGATATGACACTTTTGGCCCCAGGTGACAAAAAAATTGTTTTCATTTTTTACTTTTCCCACATACTATTGAGAGTTCTGGATAGCCCGTCACTTGAATAGTCTGAATCAACTTTCACTCGGCGAAAAAATTCGATTTTGCCGAAAGTCGACTTTTCCCCTGACAAAATCCAAGATATGAACCTTTGGGCCCCGGGTGAAAAAAATTTGTTTTCTCATTTTTTACTTTTCCCACATTCAGTTGAGAGTTCTGGATAGCCCGTCACTTGAATAGTCTGAATCAACTTTCACTCGGCGAAAAAATTCGATTTTGCCGAAAGTCGACTTTTCCCCTGACAAAATCCAAGATATGAACCTTTGGGCCCCGGGTGAAAAAAATTTGTTTTCTCATTTTTTACTTTTCCCACATTCAGTTGAGAGTTCTGGATAGCCCGTCACTTGAATAGTCTGAATCAACTTTCACTCGGCGAAAAAATTCGATTTTGCCGAAACTCGACTTTTCCCCTGAAAAAATCCAAGAAAAATCCCCTTTGGGCCCCAGGGGAAAAAATTTTTTTTTTCATTTTTTACTTTTCCCACATACTATTGAGAGTTCTGGATAGCCCGTCACTTGAATAGTCGGAATCAACTTTCATTCGGCGAAAAAATTCAATTTTGCCGAAAGTCGACTTTTCCTCTGAAAAATTCCAAGATATGACACTTTTGGCCCCAGGTGAAAATGAAATTTTTGGCGCCTCCGAGTGTGCGCAAAAAATTCGCCCGAAATTGATGAGTTCCGTTCAAAAGATCGCCGTCATTTCTAAATTCAAGGTACAGAACTTTTCTCCCGTTGCTAATAGCTCATTTACTTCTCCTCTGGCTGATTCAATTATATTAGTATATTATTATTATTACATTTTACTGCCCGATGGCCAGTTCGATTCAGTTAGTAATTTCGCTTGAAATGAGAATAATCCCGCCAACTTTCACAGTACCGCTGCACTAAAAATGTCGACTGATACGGCATTTCCTGAAGATATCTCCAACACCGAGCCCTGTTTAACCACCTGATGACAATCTGCCCATCCGGGAATGTGTCCACAAATTTCTGTGCCCATCTGTTCCACCGGTCCAAAACGGAATATGTCCATCTGATATTGTAAAAAACGACCCTCACCCTCCCGCCCCCCCAAATTCTGGGCGCTTAGGATACCCTAGAAATCTTAAATTTCAACGAATCAGAGCCACGAATCCAGAATCCCCGCATTACCGCTCGGGAAGCATGATTCTGATTGATTTTGTGTTCAAATATCTCAATTGGTAAAAATTTTAATACCGTTCTCTCGATCGGTAATGAAGCAATGAACGTTCCATTGGTCTTACCATCTGCTCTCGACATCACTGAGCAGTCGACAATATAGATAGTATATTGAAAACTGTGAAGCCACCAGTTTAGTAATAATAACTAAATACCTTTTTTCTCATTTTGCGATGAACAAATTTGATGTTTTCCATACAATTTTTTTCAACAATCATGAAACATTATTTGAAAATTGTACCTGGTTGTCACATTTTCTTCTTATTCAGATTTTGTTAATAATCTTCCTTAGTCACAAGAATCCATGAAAAAAGTTTTCAAATTTGTTCAATTAGGGTGCAAACATGCATGAATTTCATAAAACTGTTCTACTTTGTATTGAATTAAAATATCGTAATGGAAAAAATTTTACTTTTTCTTGTTGTGGATACGAATAAAATAAAAGTACGTTTATTCAAAGATAAAAAACTTCAGTCATTTATTGGAAATCTTTTACAGTAGCTGCACCAACAGTAATTTTCTCAACTCTTTATAATCATCAATCTTTACTTATCCCAATAACTCCATCTTCCAGCATTTAAACTTATTAAATGTGTCGTAACGACTGAACATGTTTCGATTTTCATGTAAAGTGTCCAAAACTATCACTTTACAACACAACCAGATCCCCCCTTTCTATATCCTCTCCTTTAGTGAAAAATGTCAAGTGTTACTATCAACTCTTCATTGATTCTTTGAAAATCCCTGAGATGTTCCTAATTACCTCCGACTCTAACTCTGTAACTAACTAATGAAAGAAAATAACTCAAAAACGCTCGCACTCTCTTACCGATATACCAGATACATTGAGATCACTGATATTTACGAGAGAAGCTTCTTTATAGCCCTTGGAATTCTTTACAAAAATGTTCTCGTGATAAATATCCTTGAATCTCGGCAGATTACAAATATTCATGAATAACTCAATGATCTTAGCTTTCAACTTAGCGTTCAACTTTTTATCTTAGCTTTTCAACTCATCTTATTTCCGCACTTTATTTCATAAACAAATGATGAAATTAATCTTCATTCAAATAAAGCGTCTATAATGTCAATCAGATTATGAGAAAGGTTTTTTGTTCCTTGATTTCATTTTTAAGCTATCAACACCCAGTTTGCCACAGATGAACTTCAACGACGATTTTTCACTCGACTAACGATGAAAGTCTGCTTGAGACCCCATTTATAAGATGCAACTTCAATTTTTAATCACGTTGAAACAAAATCTAGAAAAATTATAAAAAACGGATAATCTATTGACCATGGTAAACGTCCTACACAAAATTCAAACAGCTGCCATCATTTTGTAATGAAACCCCTAAATCGAAGTTAGGAAATCCATAATACAAAGAATTAACGATACCTCAAGATACCCAACGAACAGAACAATTACCAGAAAAACTTCTATCAGAAACATCAGAGCCCTTAATCCCCAAATTATCAAGCTAGCAGCGAAAGCTATTCTGCCTCATGGAAGTAACGAAAGCGAAGAATACATCTCTCATGTAATGCCTGTAAATTTCGTCGTCGTCTGGCTCCCACTCATCATCATCATCATCGTCGTCGTCATGTCTACAATTGGCATGACTGAACGAACAGCCCGCACAGTGGTAGTGTGGCTGTGGCTTGTTTGCCTTGTGATTCTTCATGATGATCCTGTAAGCCTGAGTAATTTCCTTGAACTTCTTCTCATGCATCTTCAGCTCCTCATGAGTGGCAGTAGCATGACGATCAGGATGATGAAGAAGAGCCTGCTGCCTATAGGCCTTCTTGATGTCCTCCTGGGACGCATTACGAGACACTCCGATGATCTTGTAGTAGTCCTTTTTGACAGTAGCCAGCTTCTGCTTAGCTTCATCAAGAAGTTTCCTGCAGTCCTTGTCATCATCGAGCTTGCAGGCCCTCGTCAGATCCTTGACAGCTTCTTCCCACTCCTTGAGGTCCATGTAGCAACGTCCCCTCCTCATCAAAGCCTTCATATACATGGGGTCAATCCCCAGAGCCTTCGAGCACTCTTCAATCGTCTTTCGAAGACTCCCCAACTTGTAATAAGCGAGAGCCATGTTGTAGTGCAGCTTCTTCTTCATCCCAGTGTTCTTAGGATCCACTGCCATAGCCTCTGCATAAAACTTTAATGCTTCATCGTAGTCCCTGTTCTTGACAGCGTCGTTTCCAGCTTTCTTCTTGTCTGCCAATTTCTTAGCCTTCTTGTACAGTGAAACCAGCTTCTTGTGGTCTGGAACAAGACGAAGAGTCTCTCTGAGGTAGTCAACAGCCCTGTCCACGTCTGATTGATAAATGCAGAGACCTAAGATGTATTTGGCCTCGATGTTCGATGACTCCACGAGAAGCACATCTTTGGCTGCTGCCTCAGCATCTTTGTACCTTCCCAAGAGTGCCAGGTATTCACCCTTGCGGAGTTTGAAGGGGATGGACTTGTTACAAGTGGCGAGACACTTGTTGATCTCCAATAAAGCTTTCTTATACTGCTTGGATGCGACTGCTTCAGTCTCGTTTTCGAGATGCTTTTGGACTTCTTTCAGCTTCTTACGCTGGGGGGCCAGGATCTCGTTGCTGGGATCAACTTCTGAGAGCTTCGTGAGGGCTGTCTCTGCTACCATTGTCTTCCCGAGGGATACGGCACATTTCACGAGACGAGTGTGGGCCTTGATGTGCTTGGGATCAATCTCGATGGTCTTTCTTGCATCGATCAGGGCATGCTCGTACTGCTCCATCATCATGTAGCAGGCTGATCTGTTGCTGTAATGGTTTGCATTTGTTGGGCAGAGTTCTGTGGATTGTGAAAAATTTAATATGAATTAGAATGTAAAGTCGTAAAAATGAATGGAATTGGGGATTTGTATGGATTTCTTTCAACGTTTGACGTGAAATTTGAATGAAAAATATTTAATCTGTTTTGTTGATTCGATAAATGATTAAATGTTGATAAGATGTAGGCGACCGAAAATATCTGCATTAATTGATTAGCAGGGCAAATCACTCATATACGATGTGAGATGATGTAATGATACTGATTTTTTTCAATTCATCACAAGTCCTGGATTCGTCATTGTTGAGGAGCATGAAATGATAAAGTAATCTCAGTTTTTTCATCTATTGAACAAATTTCACAACCCAATTCAATTACGGAATGGCATTGCTTCCCAGTCGAGATCAGTTTTTTTGTGATATATGGACATTTCCGCACACATGAATTCATGATTTGGTAGAAAATTTTCAGGAGTGTGACTTTGAATTTAAGGGGGAAAAAATGAGATTTGAAATTTTACTAAAAATTCAATGAAACTCAAATTTTTTTAGCAGCACGAGTATTTTATTTCTTCGCAATATCCGTAAAAGACGTTTGACGAACATGCAGTGTTCGTAAAACGACGTTTAACACAGGACAGGGTGATGAAAAGGTGTCACGACTACCTTTTCGAAAGTTATTTAACTTTGCAAAAATAACTTCAAAAAAAGAACTTCTGAAAAAATAATTTCAACCATTATCAATTTCTACAAAATTGATTGAGACAATATGCACAAACGGATGAGCCAATGTGGGATTGTTAACATCCCCTAAAAAAGTCCCTAGGATTGATGAGGAAAATTCCATTATTGATGATAAATTCTGTTGATTTGTGGGAGAAAAAAAGTTGCAAATTCATTGAGCATTGAGAATGCTTCGGTATTTGATAAAATGAAAATAATTTTGTGTGAATCATTTTTTCCCGAAAATATTTTTTTTGAAGTTATTTTTCCGAAGTTATTTTTGCGAAGTTATTTAGTTGTGGGGCCGATGAAAATATCCTCCACAAACAGGTATTTTTTCATTGAATTACATTTTACTGCACCTTTATACAGTAAAATTTTCCACGATTTTCTACGTCATCGTTATTCAACTGTTCTCTCCGTATATAAATGAAATGTAGAAGTAATTTTTTTTTTTATATTTACCAATGAGTTTTGTGTACTTTGCAAGGGCCTGCTTGAATTTTCCCTGCTTATAAAGCCCATTAGCCTCTTCCTTCATGGCCTCACTGAAAGGATAAGTATGATCACGATTAAAAATCTATTCATCATTCAATTTATTGCTCATGAACCCCAGTACTGTGTATTTCCCATTAATTGAATTGTTCAATTCAATAACGTAAAGAAATCGTCAAGACAGCCGATTTTATCATCTGATCAACGATATGACAATTTCATTTTGTAAATGATTATCTTCTTTGGAAACGAATCTGTTTCAATCGATTTCAATCGAATATGGATCATTGTTTCCAGGAATTGTTATCGGCCATTATTTCAACCAGAAAAAAAGACAAAAAAAACACTTCGTGGAGTAGAACATGTTTTATCCATTAAAGTAGTATAAACATAATTTGAATTATAAATATTAAAATCTGTAATAAATTTTAAACGCGAGTTAAGATGAATAGAAACATTCTGGTGGAGTTTATGCTTAATTGATTGTCTACTATTATTAATAATAATTCATCTAGGTGTGAAAAAATAACAGTCTTATGAGAAAATGAAATCTTCAAGATAGGAAGAAGATTAAAATCTAATAACAATCTCGGAACATCAGAAAAAAAAATGAAAATTCTATGCCCAATATGAAAATTATCATCAATGTCGAACTTTTGTCATGAATAATTTGCTTTTGCGTGCCCTAAATAGCGTGCTATGCCAACATACCCTAGTCAAACGAGAGACTATTCTTTAAAAAAATAAATGAAGAAATAATTTTATGGATTAATTTCTTACATGCATCAAAGTTAGAATTTATGAGAAAAATTATCAATGATGAATTATTTTTATTTTTGGGTTTTTTAATTTATTTTTCTTCGTTACACTCAACGAGTATTAATGAACTCAACTGGTGTTCATTCATACTACTTTAATTGATTAAAACAAATTATTTGGTCGTGAAATGATGAAACAGGATGATAAGCCAATTCTACTTTAGCATAAGTTTTTGAAAACATCTCGGAATTCAAGGGAAATAGTAAAATTGTTAAGGATATCCAAGTACTTTAGCTTTTCTGCAGTGAAATGCTTTTCTATTTTTGTAGTCGAACATCAGAGCTTTCATTCGAACCCCATTTGACCTTAAGTTTCCGGATATTTTACAATTATTTTATTATTTAAACTTCGACAGATCTGAATTGGAATGTCGATATTGAACCGTTAAAAAACATTTTAAAAATCTGAAAAAATCGAAAGTTTACTTTTAGAGGAAGATTGATGAAATGATTGAAAAATTTCAATTTTTTAAAATTACGAGCATTTATAAACAATTTATAAGTAATCAATTAATAAGTACTTACTTATTATTACTATCTTGTTACTTATTACTCATTAACTTAACTTGTACTTGTTACTTATTATTTATAAGTAATCAATTTTGCGCTAGAAAAATCATTTGTTCGAAATCGTAACAAATTGATTCATATCTACAATTTTACCAGAAATCTATTTTATGCTTAAAAAAATTGGGTTTCTGAAAGTTCAAACAATTTAAATTTGTGTATAAACAATGATGTAATGAGGCTGAATATTCATAATTTAAAAAAAAAATTCACCCCATTTAATTGATAAATTTAATGATTTAATGGTTTAATCCATAGTTAGCCTAGTCTGTACCAAACTGTAAAAGATACGTGGGCACCCTCAAGTCCTAATTGCTTTATGAGTGTCTTTTAGGACACAGAGAGTGCTACAAAAAAGATCCGCGAATGAATGGCGCTATCTCCTCTAGATTCAGAGATACTAGACATAACTTGATCTCGACATTAGTGGAATGTCCCAATTTTCTTCTCATTCTCGAGCCATTTTCGAGCGTGCAAATGAGACCATCCTAAATACATCCTCAGAAAATACATTTCATAATTTTTTTTGCTCGATTATCCTTCCATTCTAATTAAAAAAATCAAATAACAAAATCAGAGAATTCCAGCGGAGGAATTTACATAAAAATTATCTCGAATCAAATAAGTTGTACAGAGAAAGCAAATTCTATCGATTTTAAAATATTCAAAATATTTTCTATTCAGGATTTTAGCTGACACAAAAAACGCGCAAAAAAACTGCAGATTATCTGAATTAGGAATTTTTCCGATGGGGCAAAATGATCATTCCTGTCTTTTCTTTCAACGTTCATCACTCAGAAATAAATTTATCAATCAAGGAAAAAATAATCATCAGTCATGTGCCCTTTTTGTCCCAGTTGCTTCTAGAATCAGCGAAAAACTAGTATAGGGGAGGGTAGGGTAAAATGGACACTTTAGACTTTTTAAAAATTATTCATAACTCAGAAACAAATGTATCAGTAGAGCTCAGTTTAAACTCATCACAAAGGGAAAGAATTGTTCTTTGTACTGAAAAAAAAAAATTAAATTTCATCAACACATTTCAACCCATCACTAACATTTTAAAAAAAGTCAAAAGTGTCCATTTTACCCCAACCTCGTCTATAGAATTTTCGACAAAAGTCGAAATAGAATGACATTTTCCAGTGAATGGGCTAGGTTTTTTTCTGAAATTTCTCCGCATGAGGGTGACGTCAGGGGAGGACCGATTGGACACGAAATACGTCATATTCAATTGAAATGTCACGGCCTATAATAATAATGATAATAATAATAATAATCAATTTGTTGATCTAGGGACCAAAGAAATTTTTTTTGTATCACGAGTTTGATAAACAAGTAATTTTTATTTGTTTTGTAATTTCTTTCCAAGCCCTGAAGAAGCTAAAATATTTAGTGAAATGTCGCATCTATGACAAATTAACGAACATTGGTTTTTTGCATTCCTCAAAATTTTCTCTTGATCCCTAATGAATAATAATAATAATAATAATAATAATAATAATAATAATAATAATTGAAATGTCAGGATGAAAAAACAAATCGTTCCGAGAAAGAAAAAAATATAAAAATGGAAACTAAACTCACTCGTCCTTGAAACTCGTCTTCTGACTCTCTGTGTGGCCCCTCTGTTTGTCCTTGAAATTCTGTTTGTTGTTATTATTAGCCTCCCCATTGTGCCTACTGAAGTTGAAATCACTCCTGTTCTCCTTAGAATCACTCTTACTAGATCTCTTTGCCTTTTTAATCTTCTTTACTGAATTACTATTCGACTTGTTTCCATCATTCTGCTTCAGAGAGTCCTCTTCGCCGGTGAAACGGCAAACACGAGCAAAATGTCCGATCTGACCGCACTTGAGGCAAATCTTCCCAGTAGCTTTGCAACCGTGTCCATTTTTCCACGTTAAACCACAATCTTGACAAGTCGTCAACATATTCTTGGCCTGCTGGTAATTGTTTTCAGTTGAATTAGCGTCTGGTCGATCTCTGTCCATGAAAATGTCGTCTGAGTCAAGGTCACCGTCGGCCCTCCCGCGACGTTGTCCTCCGTACATTTTTCTTTGGATTTTTCTTTTGTTTTTTACGAATTTATCCTCACATTAAAAACAATCACTAAAGGTCGTATTTTGTTAACAGCTTCAATGATTCTTCAACACTAGAAACTTTACGTGGGATTGAAGGGGATGCTTCGGGATCTACCCGACTGACGGTTTGTGACGATTCCCAACGAAGTGATTCGAATTTTTTCGTTGTCCGCGAGGCAAACGGGTGAAGCGCTGAGCGACTGGGGTGGGGTTAGGCGGGCGAAAGAGGGGCAGTCAGTGGTAAGCGCTCGGTGCCATTTTGTGGTGGAGAGAGTGTGTTCGTCGCGGCGGTGCGACAGAGATGAGTGACGCGAATAGTTTTTGTTAAGGAATTCGACATCTTCTAATAAAACAAGGGTATTTAAATTTTCTTTCTAATTAAGGGTATCTCAAAATTCATGTAAAAAACCGTCTGAAATCTCACGTTTTCCGTCTCTTGACAGCTGTATAAATGGTATGATAGGGATGGTTGGGGTAAAACGGACACAGTTGACTTTTTTTTAAATGTTAACGAGGGGTTGAAATGTTGATAAAATTTAATTTTTTTTTTTCAGTACAAAGAACAATTCTTTCCCTTTGTGACGAAACTAAACTGAGCTCAATTGATAAATTTGTTTCTGAATTATGAATCATTTTTAAACAGTCTAAAGTGTTCATTTTACCCCACCCTCCGCTACATAAAAAAATTCAAATGACATGGAGTAGTTCACACTGGAAGAGAAATAAAATGCTTTGCAAGCTCCGTGAGACTTAGAAATGGATGTGAACAACAAAGCTTTCACAGGTATTTTAAGATACTTTAGTCTTCACGCGAATTTGGAGACACACTGAGAAAAAAAATTATTTTTGTCAAACATTCATTTACTTCAGAGAAATATTTATTTTTTCAATACCGTATTTCTCTAGTCGAGTCATTCCCAGGAAATTCTCATTAGGTTTCAATTATGACACCTATATTAATTGCTCTAGAAGATGATCATGTTAGTTAGGGGAAGGTAGGGTAAAACGGACACGTTTGACTTTTTTTAAAAATATTCATGACGTGTTGAATTGTTCGTGAAATGGAATAATTTATTTTTCAATTAAAAAACAATGATTCCTCTTTGTGGTGAGCTTAGACTGAGCTCAATTGATAAATCTGTTTCTGAGTTATGAATATTTTTAAAAAAGTCAAAAGTGTCCATTTTACCCTACCCTCCCCTATAACTTTGAGTGAACTCCCTCATTAATTATAAACATTGAAAAATTAATCGAAGTTCTTCCCCGTAGAAAATAAGGAATTTAGGAAAAATGAATAATCAATGCGTCATGTCTAGAGCATGACGCATGTAGTCATCCTCTACAGTAACATGGACTCGCCTGGAAGTGACTCGATTGAAGATGCGATTTTTAAAAAATAAATGCATATTTTAATAATTATAAAATAAATGAATATTTGGTAAAAATATTTTTTTTCTCAGTGTACCCTTGTTTTAAAAAGAAAATTGAAATACCCTTGTTTTATTAGATGTCGAATTGTGGAATAATTATGGAGTGAATTGGGAGCGAGTGATGGGTACAATTGTTCAAGAATTGAGGAAAGGGAATGAGGGCGGTTCAGGATAACTTTTAGTGTTTTAAAGGTGCGAGGGGTGAGTATGAAAATAAATTAAAGCATGTCCCTGCTAGATAGCACGTTTTTCGTAGGATTGTCCCCATGGTTTTTTTAGATGTTTATAATACTCCCCAGCTTAGCATTGTTATAAGGTGAATGTCGGAGTGCCTGACTCTGTTCCTGTAACCGAAATTTTTGGAACTTTCAGCGTATTCCCAGAGTTGCAGAATTTATTATTTGGCACTACATATTGACAGTTTATTCAGAGAAACAAATTGACACGCTCAAAATAATCCTTCTTCGCCATTAAAAGATATAATGTTCTATTTATACGTTCAGATACTGAGTTTAAGCGTTCGGCTAAACATTCACCTTACATGAGCTCCTAATGAGATTTGTTCTCAAATTGATAAATCACTTACTACGAGCCTCCAAGAATAAAAATAAAAATAGAGGACAATGGGAAAAAATATGCTGAATCCAATGGCCAAGGGGAAAACTAAATAATCGGTATATTCAAATCATTAAACCCCCTGCAATGCCATGCTAGCACCTAGATCAAGTGCATATTATTCCTTTTATTTCCGGATCTTAGAATCAGCTAACATACACTGTTAAAAATTTTCCACTGAAATTTTCGGGAAGAGTCTGGGAAATTTCTAACAAGTAACATTTCTACTGAAATTTCAAGTAATTTTGTCATTGAAAATTCATAATTTCATGGAAAAATCCGTAAGAACTGCAAATTTCAGTTTAATGATTCCGGGGAAATTGATGAAAAATCACGAAAATTCAGAGAAATCTCTCCTTAAATTCCCGATTCCTCTGAATTTTCAAGGAGTTTCTTCATAAACTCTTGAAGATTCCAAGAGTTTTTAAGGAATTCTCTGAAAATTTAAGGGAATTCGGCAGTGAATATTCTTTATCACTTGAAAATCCATGTAAATTGGGGAAACCTTAAATTTAATACCTTTTCTCCTAAAATCGAAATCAAGGTCTTGTTCCGAAGAATTCAGAATTGCCGAATTTTTTTAACAGTGTAACTCTTTACTTTATCAATTTACAGTCAGAGATTGTAAAACTGCCACTTTGTATTCGTTGGATATTTTGGACAAATCTTATCTACAATCCCAGCTTTATTTACTTTATCATATTTCATTATCGAATGTTATGTTTTTATCTTCCACTTCTTTGTTGGGCTTCACGGAATCCCCCTCCCCCTCTTGGGGCTATAGCTGCACGCTTCGGAGTATCGCGCAACGGAGGTGCTTTGTACCGCTCACCTTCAGTTTTAGTTTACGTATAAAAACACTCTGGCTCGTCAAAACAAATCAACAGCAACGTTGTACAACGTTTTTATATTTTTGTTACTCGATCCCTTGTTTACTTTGGAAACACATTATTCCAGGGAAACCCTAAAAAAAACCTTGCACATCAATCTCGACATGTTTTGTTTTTAATCACACGCTGCATACGGGAACAATTCAATTAATTAATTTAGAAAATTTTCAATGGTTGAAACAATAATTTCCTGAAATTAAAACAAGTTAAGGTGAATGTCCCAGTAGCTGAACGTACAAATGGAACATGGTAACTTTCGATGGACAAAAATTTTGAGTGTCAATTTGTCCCTCCCAATAGACTGCAAAAATGTGACAGCAAATGATAAATTGCAGGACTCAGGAAATACATGGAATGTTAGAAACAAAGTGCGGCTACTGGTACATTCCTCGTATAGACAAGTTTTCGATGCAGTATTTTCTTACATACAATGTTACATAAAATGTCAATCAATAAGTCAATCAATAAATTGGCAATATGATTCCGAATGATCATTTGACCGGTCCTTTTGTTCTATGGAATACAATTTATCGTTTTATATTACTTTGTTGCATTGAATCATATTTTTGAAGAACGTGCTTGGAAAATTCCCATTTCGTTTACAGATTTTCGTGCACAAAGTGGTACTTTTCGTAACTTTTAGGGTAGGAAACGAAAAGGGACTTTTCGTTTACGGGATTCATTTTTCGTTTACAACAGCTGACTTTCTAACAGGGTTGAGCATCTGTCGATAACCGCAGTTTTCTGCATGATATTGAAAAAAACTCTAATTAACGTAATAAATGTAAAAAATGTAAAAAACTAGCAGGAGTTATCTTTTATCGTAAACCGTGAGGCTTCGCAAAGATTATACCTCACAAGAGTGATAAATCACGAGGGTCATACCGTGTAAGGGATGAATTTTACAAGAGTCAATCTCATTATTTATTGATCTCTATTAAATTCATGGCGTCATCATCTTGTGTTTCGACATTAACTTGTCTCATTCAACATTCTTAAATGACAAAACTAATTCAATTGTCTTTGGTAGCTTTGTTGAACTCTTCAGAACAAAATGGTTCTTTTCAGATCCAACTGGGCGTTTCCCGGGCGACAAATAATAAAGCGGAAAATCCAATAAAGTTCAATTGATAATGAGATTGACTTTCTCACAACGGAGATGACTTGTGACATTGGTCTTTTACAACATTTGATCCTCGTGAAATTTACTCTTTACGAGGTATGAAGTCATGTTTTTGTGTTTCTTAAAATGGCGCGAATCGTGGATTTCAATTATACGAGTCAGGAAATGGTTTTATCGCCGTGTAGCATACAATATTTTATGTCTCTGGGCCCGAAAACCGCGATTCAATTGAGGAAATCGATGTTAGAATCGCGGTTTCACAGTCCTAGGGACATAAAATGATATTTTATGCCTCAAGTACCGAGAACCGCGTTCTAACCGAACAAAGCGAAATTAAAATTCGCAGTTTATCTGTCCTCGGGCCACAATATACTATTTTTTATGTGTCCAATACTGGGTCTTTGTTACGCGGAATAAAATAAAACATTCTAGTATAATCGAAAATTGCAAGCTTTTCGAAGGAATGTAAAAAATGTAAAAAACCCGTCGAGGTAATTTACGTAAATTACGTCGGTAAAAAACGGTGTAATTTACCAACGTAATTTACACGCCCAACCCTGGGTTCAATACCTATCAATACGCTGAGCGGCCAGCCGGTTCCACGACGGATAAACGGAGATCTTCGTTTTCATGTCCTTGAGCCTATATCGACTATGTTGTTGATAATTTTGCTAATAATTCATGATAAAATAATGGAAAACAATACCATGCAGAATTTGTCAATTACCTATTCATGTCAGACATGAATAATTTTGGAAAACATCAATTTTAAAGGGCCTTCTTTATGAAGGTCAAAATTTTCGGGAAATTGCCTTTTGACATTTTTCCAGTGTTTCACTGATTTCGAATAAAATGAGTCAGTAATAAAATCAATAACGGAATGCTTGATTTTTCAACCCGAAGAAAAAATCAATAGAAAAGTGAAAAAAAATGGGTAAAAAATAACGGGGGACTGCAAGAAAATTGCAGATTATGCGGTGGGCTACTTTTCCCGAAAACCGCTCAAATTTGACTGTTTGCTTGTAAAAAATTAAATTTCAATTTAAAAATCCTAAAAAATTGATTTCACATAGAAAATCTCTCGAATTAGTTACATTGTATAATACTTAATTTTTGTATTTTTTCTCGGCGCAACAACATTTCCTAAAATTATAGTAAAAACGAATTGATAAAATGTTTGGAAATGTGACAGCAAATGTAGATAAATATTTCAATGTTTTGGGGCAAAATCCTGATTACCGGTTGCCGTAAACAAGCCATCATTGGAATATTTTATGATTTTCAGTGGTCCAGAGTGGTCCATGTGCCCTCTATTGTTTTTTTTTCACTTCAAGAGAATTCGGACCATAAAATAAACCCTCAAGATGAAAATTCTCCGACAATCTTTCTCCACACATCTGTTCGCCACCATTCAATTTTCCTGCATGTCTCACTTTTCTTTTGCCTCCACATTTGGCAGAAAGGAAATGCCACATCTTCGGCCCGTCCAATCCTTTTATTGCTTTAATCCCCAACCCGAAATTTCGAACATTTCTCCTGAGCACATTTTATGACCGTCTTTTACAGCACGTAAAAACCCAAGACAATTCACCCTTAGAAAAAAACAAAACCGGTCCGGTACACGTGTAGACCTTCTGCCTGGACACTTTTCTCCATCGAATGTACCCTTTGGTCCTTACAGTGAAGCGCCACCTTTCCTTCCCACCACTTTTCTGATTTTACCAATCAGGGATGGTCCTGTAGGGCCCATTTCTGGATAATAGGGAGATCCCCTTCCCTTCTCCATGGGCCCGTTCGCAAGTAATCCCCACCAATCAGAAATGCTCTCTGGGCAAGCTCAGGAGTAAGTCTCACCAATGAGAGATGTCCGTGTAAATGCGAATCCAGAACCATTTTGGAACATAGTTTTGCCTTAAGACCACTGTCGAAAAAAATGTGGAAAAATGTGAAACTCTATGGACGATTTTTCATTTTTTCATTATCACTTCATGGACTCATAATTTTCAGAAGAGAGACATTGAATACAATTTAGGGGAAAACATCATTCAGCGAGAAGGGGGGGGGCACACCGCTTTTTTAAAGTACCACGAGTTTTTGATCGCAAATTTCGGCAAATTTCAATTTCTTCTTTATATAATAAAAAGTGTAGGCATGAAACATCATGAAATTTTCATTTTTCAATAACATTCATTTTTATTTAACGGAAGGAATTGAGTAATTTCAAGTTGAATACTGTTGATTTTACGGAACATCATATTAAATACATAAAAAAATTCGTTGAAAAATATCGATAATTGTAGGACTAGTAGGATTTTTAGGAGCCGAAGAAATGGAAAATTGCAAATTTTCCATAAGATTCGATGGATATTTTCATCACGGAAAGCACACCGAATAATCAAATTACAACAAATCTGGAATAATTATTTTCAGAATTGTTCGACTTCATAAGCTAATCTCGCTTTAAAAAATGGAATAGACCGATGTAGGAAGAGACAGGGAGGGAGGGGACAAATTTTGAATCCCTCATTTCCGTTATAATTGACTTTTATGAGAAATATATGCTTCGAATTTTTTTTTGCTTTTCCTATCGATAATCGTTATATTTTTATTTAATTTTTTTTCCAAGTTCGTACATAAAAAATAACAAAAACAATAAAAATTGAAAAAACGGAGAATCTACTCGGAAGCATATGGCTAATTTGTTAGCCACAAAAACTATATTCATTTATAAAAAAAACTATTATCTACTTGTTGAGATGGTGTCTGTGTTTTTTAATAAATTTTTTTTTCTCGAAATTTTTTATAGGGTGTATCAACTGTCATGAATTTTTTACTGAATGTAGACTTTAATAAGCTATCTATTGCCACCAATTAAAGTTCAATTTCTCATAAAGTTTCGAAAATTTTAGTGTTTTTTAAAAATTTGATTTTTCAATTATCACTCAATGAATCATCATTAGAACAAATTTATTCATGGTTAAAAATTGCTGCATTCGCTGCATTCAGCCGTTTGTTAATGGGTTTTTTTTAAATATATATTTTCATGGTTAATGGAAAAATCGTCAGCAATACCAATCAAATTATGGTTTAAAAATTTTGTTTCTATGATTTCCCAATCCAATTAAAAGATGATAGTAATAACATAATTACTTATCGAGTTCCATGATATAGCGTTGTATATTCTGTGCCAGTCTATCGTATTTAATGCTTAAATCTCGGCTACACCGTAATTAAACACCGGTCAATCTCCGTTTAACCACTGACTAATTTTCGATCAAATCGCAATAGAGAACTAGCATGAATTTTTTTCAATTTTCTAATCTCAAGTTTGGCACCTGAATAATTCATTTTTTGTTCACAAACGTTTGAAATGTTGCTCATTAATGCATTTAATTGTTAAACGTTGAGGATTTAAAACGCCTTGAAGTATCTAATGACGTCACACAGACGGTCGCGGGCTAGACCAATCACAAAATGACTCGAGCCGCCTTTACCCAATCTTGAGGTGCATCTTGGCCAATGGAAGACAGCTCTCCAATCTCTTCTTTTTCGACCAATGAAGCATTACCTGACCGTCTTCGTGACGTCATGACCGAAAAATTGGCCTTGAAAACGACTGATTTTTAATGAATTATCATAAGACATCTAGGCAATATTTCTCCATAATTTTTGCCGCTTAGCTATACATATGTTACGAGAAATATGTGAACAGGAGAACTAGAAAAAAATGACCTTCACGCAAGTTCTCTATTGCAAGTAAAGATGAATATCTCACTCAAAAATAAGTTCTAAACCAGAAACGCCTAAATCAGAGATTATTGTAAGTAAAAATGAATATTCCACTCCAAGATATTCAAAAACCGTAGAAACACGTTTATTGTCTCAAATAACTCTACATCACCCAACAAAACGTAAAAAGATTCAACACATAATATTGAAGTCTCAAATCACAAACATTTGTTGATTAAAACCACCACATACTAATGAACTTCTCTCTCCATCCACAATCACATCTTTTATCGAGTCAATGAAAACAGACTGAAATGTCAATGGCATTACCCGTTCATATTGCAGAAGCATTCTGGATTATTAGGATCTAGTACCCTTTAAAAACACTCTCCACAGTACGATCGTCAATATTTCCCACGCCCGTTGCAAGGTCTACCCCCTACCTACGTACGAGGACGATGCACTGGCACGTCAGGATCCGTCTCTTCTTCACTGGGATTACCGCTGGGATTTTTCCAATTCTCCTGAGGTTTCCATTTATCTCAATTGTTATTGCAACCTGCGGATGACGACTGGGATCCACTCTTATCCGCACCACCAGCTGATGATTTCTGTCTGTCATTATTTGTAGCACCTGATGGAGCCTGAGGATTCGATTTATTATTAGGATCTGTAGAAGACTGCTGTCCATTCGAACTAATATTGGGACCTTTCGATGAAGTTTGAGGTTTATTGGGGTTTTTATTTGTGCCACTAGCTGAAGACTGCTGTCCACCACAGTTATGAGAATTCTCTGCTGATGGCTTTGGTCCACTGGAATTATTCGGATTTCCAGATGGAGGTTGTTGGCCATTCGATGGAGATCCTCCTCCATTACAATCGTTAGCTCCCTTTGACGCCTTAGGTCGATGTGAATTGTTATTACTTGACGACCGCTTTGACTTTCCACCGTTCTGCTGTCTCCCTTCCATCAACAACCTGTAAGCTCTCGTGATCTCTTTACACTTTCTCTCATGGAAGTCCTGCTCCCCTTCTGATGCATTAACATGACGATCAGGATGATGCACTTTGGTCAGCTCCTTATACGCTCTGTTGATCTCCTGTGTAGATGCGCCCTGCGCAACCCCCAGGGTCCCATGAAAGTCGTCCTTAGCAGCTTCCAAGAGTCTTCGAGCTTTCTTCAGCATTTTTAGGGCCTCGGATGATGACTCGATCATCAAGGCCACTTCCAGGCATTCGATGGCTCTGTGATATTGCTTTTGATCCAAGTAACACTGTGCACGACGCATGAGGGCCTTCAGGTGATTGGGCTTGAGGTTGAGGACCTTCTCACACTCCGACAGGCATCGGTTGATGTTCCCCAGCTTGTAGGAGGTCTCGGCCATGTTGAATAACAGTGTGACCTTCATTACTTTGTTCAGTCCACCTTTCGTAATCATATTATTGTAGAGATCGTAGGCTCTGGAGAAGTGTTGAGATTTGTACGCGATGTTTGCCGCAGTTTTCTTGTCGAGAAAGTCTTTGGCTCGCTGTGGAAGAGGTAAAGTTACAGACATTGGTTTATTGAAGGAATCGAACAGTTCGTTTGGAGATTGCAGAGTAGTGGACTGGTAAAGCCCGCGGCTGAATTCAAAAGACATTGACTTATTACTGTGTGAATGTCTTCGAAGGCAAGAGATTGAGAATTCAATAATCAATGATAAATATTACTGTGCAAATTCCCTTGATCTATCATTGAGTAAAAGTATTACTGTCCTAAAAGTATCACTGTCCAAATTCCCTTGATCTATTATTGAGTAAATTCATTAAGTATGGAATTGAATATCTTTAATGGTTTTTGACATTTTTGTAACAAAGGGCGTAATCAAATTCTACTGGATTTCTATTGAACTGAAATTGAAAATTTTATTAGTTTTCAGCCAATTCTATTGAAGAATTTCGCAGCTTTACGGCCCGTTTTCCTATAGAAAACGTCTAATCGAAATTATTTTATAGAAAAAACCTGTAGAATTTCATCTTTCTATCGATTTTCTATTGATTCTCTTTCTATAAGAATTCTTCGACATGAATTTTCAAAGTTTTTTTCCACTCTATTTTTCTCCTCTTTTCATGAAAAAAAGAAAAAAAATAAACAATAAAACTTGGAAAATTTGAGCTAATGAATTTCTTTAACAAATATCTTAATAGAATAAATTGTATAGAAAAATCTAATTCTAGAGATTTTTTCTATAGAATATTTCAAATTGGATATTTCTATTGAAAAAACGCAGATATGCCGCAAAATCTTCCACTAGAATCAGCCAAAACTAATAAAAAGTTCAATGGAAAGTCAGTAGAATTTTTTACCGAATTTGCTAGGTTTTTCTATGAATTTTTTTTGTACGTGATATCTTAACATTTCTCTCTCAATCTATTAGTTCTTCAGTTATAAGCAACTCCCATGAAATTCCACCTTTACGGCCCGTTTTTAAATAGAAAATATCCAATCGAAATTATTTTATAGAAAAAATCTGTAGAATTTTATCTTTATATCAATTTTCTATTGATTCTTTTTTCTGTAATAATTCCTTGACATGAATTTTCTAAGTTTTTTCCACTCTATTTTTATCTTTTCATGATAAAAAATAAAAAAAACAAACAGGAAAACATCTTCTCAACTACGAAATAGCATTTTGCGTCACTAGGTCGAAAGGAACTTTTCTGGTGAATATGAGTTTGCTGCTCGAACTGTAGGTGAGGGATGCAATCATATGAGTTAGAAAGGTTTTTTTGTCAGCCATGCGATGAAAGGTATTTTTTGTCATGACGGGTGAAGCGCTGCCTTACGATTGAAATGACAAAAATGTCTTCATATTCTATGCTAACACCATCAGAATATGAAAGAGACGTACTGAATGGTTACCTGGTAAAATTCCTGGTCGTTATCACACGCTGGATTCAGTCTGAAGGCCTCATCAAAGTGGTGAACTGATTTTTCAAGATCTGTTTCATAGAAACACCTTCCCAGAGCGTAATGAGCATCGCTGATTTTCGAATCTTGTGTCAATATGTCACTGTAAATGTTTAAAAATACCATCGAATTAAGACACACGAAATAATTTCATGGAAAACCTAGTGAATTCGCTAGAAAATTCTATTGAATTTATTTTGATTATTTTTCTCACTCAGATTTCAGCCAATCAGAGCGCAGTATTTGAGGCTGTCAGTTTTATTTCGGGAATTTCTAAAAAATTTCCGACGGAAATTCACTAGTAGCTTTTCAAATGCTTCTCATCTTTCAACGCATTTCACGTTTAATATTCTGTGTGACGGATAAACAAAAAAGTGGGTTGTAAATGTATGGCTACGTAAATGTATCCGGATGCTGTTCACTGCACTCTGCTTGGCCGAAATCCGAGTGGAAAAATAATTTCGAATATTATAATAGAAAATGTTTCATCGAGAATATTTTATGCAAATAATCAATCGATTTTGCTCTTTCTATAGACCTTATTCTAAAGAGATATTTTCTATAAAAATTTCTGTACATAATTTTTTACTATTGTTTCCAATACATTTTTCTTTCTGCCCTTAGAAAATTGAAGCAAAAAACTTGGAAAAACGTGCAGAAAGATTAGAATCTATTAATTTTTTCTACCAAGTACTTTATATTTTATGGTTCTAGCAACAAACATCCTCCGGAAAAATTTCAATAGCAGTCCAATAGAATTTTCAATCAACTTTTTTTGTGCACACGATTGATGTATTAAAATTAACGATGGGACTGATGTATTTTTTCAATTATTTTGTAATGAGTGAATCTGGTAGGAACCATCAAAGATCCATTTGACAAGAGAATTCTTTTGAAATGTTCTCTTGACAATTGATCCTAATATTGCTCTGGACTCATACAATCATTCGACTTTTTTCATCATTTGCCCACTGAATGTTGTCAAAGCCGATTTCTTAATCAGTAGAATTCCACAAAAATTACTTTGCAAGTGTCTCTGCCTCGCTGAAGTTACAAATTTTGGCTAAATATTTCGCTTTCTTTGCTTTGTACTCTAAAAATCGTGGACATATCCCCAGTGATTTCTCAAGGTGTTCTAGGGCCTGAAAAAATAGGAGATTCAACAGATGGAGTCTTGATTATAACAAATGTGGAATTCATTTTTTATCAAATTGATAGGAACCTGCTCGTAATCCTTAGCATTGACCGCTGCACATTCATTCTTCAGGTGCCCAATCAACTCTCTTTTCTTTTGAGCCTGGAACTGAAGCACTTCATTACTTGGATCGATCTCCTCTAATTTTGCTACGCTGGTGTCCATGTCTATGAATTCGTGGAGTTTGAGGGCACATCTTATCACTCGACAATGTCCCTAGACAAAAGAAATCGTCAATTGAAAGAAAACGGCAAAAAGCTCAAACTAAGTTTCCACAGAGTCGGGAACTGATGTAGGGGAGAGTGAAACTTTCGTGATTCACTTCGATTCTTGATATCTTCGTTTATGAACAAAAATATTGGGATCTCAAGGCAATGACAAACGTTCCACTTTGTCCCGCCTCTTGACAAATATATCGATGCAAGTTAATTATTATGCGAATATCTCCGAGAGGCAGAAACGTAGGAAGTTTCATGGAAGGGACATTTTCAAAATGCAGTTCATATCATTAGTTCCAAAAGCTACTTGGAAAATAATCTGCAAAAAAATTTGGAATCATCTAATGCTTTTCAATTATTCAATAACTCATTCATGTGACCATCGAAAACAATGGGAACATCAAATGGAAACTTTGAAAATTTATTAACCCCCGATCACTCGCTCAATGAGCGTGGCGCCGTCCGTTTTCTTTCTTTTATATTTTAGCGTGTTTCTCGATGCTGAAAAATTATGAAAAAATTAGAGTTCCTAGTTCAATCCTTTTATTAAGCGTTGGCGTTGTCCGTTTTTTTCTGAAGATTTTTTTTTAGCTAAAAAAAGAGAAGAAACGTCGAATGGACAGAAACGCAGCGCCGTGCCGCCCGGTGCGAGTGAGTACCTGTCGATCCCTCGAGCGACAGTGTTGCTACATTCACTGCCACACTTGAAATGCGCGCATAGCGGTAAGCGCCAAGGTGGCAACAGCGCGCTCGATTTAACCTCTCACGTACGGCGCGTTAACTCCGTTATTGAATAAACAATAACTTGAAAACAGTCGAACGAAAAAAATTGAAATAAAATGCATTGGCTGTATTGAGCTTCGAAATAAATTCCTAGAGAATTTCCTAATTTTTGACAGAATTTTCAATGTTTGCCGACACTTGATTGCCGAAATCTTCGAACATGATAAATTGATTTATAACAAACAAATTATTCAACAAATCGAAATTTAACTTTTGCCATTCCATAGAAGGATCATTGAAGTATTTTCAGTGAAAATTTCAAAATTTTTGAGGGAATTTTTGTCGATAAACGAGATGATTTAATATGATTGAATTGGTTGGATGCTAAATTTTCATCTACAACTTTTGTTCATAGAAAAAAATATTATAAATGCATTGAAAAAAAAAATCTAATAGTTCACTACAGAGACAATTGCATTGCCTTTCCCAATATCTTTTCCGAATATCAATGTCTCTTAGAATTCGAGAAAATGATCTTTTACTGTTGACGGAAAGGGTCGATACCATGCCGATAGAATAGGTTTATGGGTCAATGCATGGTATCGACGCCGTACGTGACGGGTTAAGGGTATTATGGCGGGGTCCATAGCTGGAAAAAAAAGCAGAGAATTCAATGAAAATTGCTGAACAGATTATTCGATCCATTTGAAAGCCGCGTGGAAAATGTCAAGATCCCTACTTAAACAATAATAATGGGGATAAATTTTGGAGTTGCTACTTTTACACGCGGTTGACTGGGGCATCGGTTTTCCTACGGTATTGATCTATCGATAACGTAGGAAATTTAATAAAATTACCGATGCCCCATTCAACTGCGTGTATAAGTAGCAACTTCAAAAATTATTCCCATTATTATTGTTTAAGTAGGGGTCTTGACATTTTGCACACGGCTTTCAAATGGATCGAATAATCTGTTCAGCAATTTTCATTGAATTCTCTGCTTTTTTTTCCAGCTATGGACCCGCCATAATACCCTTAACCCAGTGATGTTGCGCTAACCGTGCGACGGATTAAGGCTGGCGGGCCGAGCGCGAGTGATCGAGGGTTAATGAACACGATAAATACCTTAATAAACGTGGGGCACAATCGAACAGCTTCTTTAGCATCATTCAGAGCTTTAAGATAATCTTCCAGCATCATATAGCATGCAGCTCGGTTTCCATAATAAATTGCTTCCTTTGGACACATGTCTAAAGAGAAAAATTGAGGAAATAGAATTCGATATCACAATTAAAAAAGTTGCACAGGCCGAAAAAATGATGAAAAACGTACCAATAAGAATCGTGTACTTTTTACTTGCCAAATCGTATTTCTTTTCATTGTACAATTTCGTAGCCTCTCGTTTGATTTTCTCCCCGGGTCTGGATAAAAAAAAAACAGAATGAAGAAGGATGGATAATAGAGAAATTTCAACGGAATGAATGAAGACAGACATTTGAGAGAAATTTGAACTGAAATAATGAATTTGAGGTACAATGGAATGTACGTTCTTCAACTCGTCAACAAATTTACATAATTGAGAAGGGAATTGATCAATTCAGCCGAACAAAATACGAAAGATACCTCAATAGAATGAATTGTTTCGGGAAAATTCAGTTCTATTGATTCTTTTTATGGCATATTTTTTTGAAATTTTCTATCCCAAAAAAAACGTACAGAATTTTTTTTTGAAAAATTAAAAAAAATTTAAAAATGAATATATGAGCTAGATTTTAATCAATGGTAATTGATAAGGCTCAACAATACCTACATTTGGGGCGAGGGGGGGGGGGGAGATTCAATTCCATCGACTCATTAGCGACCAATCGATGAAAACTTTGTTTACATACGTACGCACATACATACATAGTCTAACAATTGCATTTTCGGACTTTTTGGATCATAATGGGTCGATATAATACGACAAATCCAAAACTTAAATTTGACCGATTACAATGCTTCGATTCGGAATCAAAAATTATACCGAGTAGAATAATTATTATTATTCGATATTTATTATTATTATTATTATTCGATTTGATTAAACACTCAATGAGTTTAACATAAAAAAAAATGAAGTACCCATTTTGCCCCACTCCTCCCTAATGTTTTTTCGTCTCTAAGATCAACCATCGAATGAGAAAAATCAGTTAATAGAACAATAATAATGAAAATGAACTCACGAAATGTTCGTGGCCCCATCACCAGCAGGATTTTTTTCATTGTCTGGTTGAGTTGATATCTTGCAAGGACGACCTGGTCCTTTTGTTGCAGTGGAATTGATTCGTTCGTTATTGGAGTCCTCAGATTGCTTTGTATGGCTCCTCCGCTTCATCGGATGGCAGGATGTCGCACTTCTCTTCATGCTTATTTATTTTTGTTTTCCCTCCAAAAGTGAACGAATTGATGAGTCTATTTTGAGATTTTCGAATTCTTGAGACGGTGTAGAAAATTTTTAAGACTACAGAATTGTTAATCACCTCTAATTATGTACTTGACTGTTACTTGTCAACTAGGTGAACGTTTTGTTGATGAAACTGAGTTTCTCATGCATTTTTCAGGGGTTAAGACACTGGGGGAACACAATTTGGTTAATCATAATCATCGATTACGATTTACGGTTCAGTTCCGGGAAATGCCGAAAACATTGCACAGCAATTAATTAGAGAACTCTGTTTACGTTGAGGACGCGAAACTGGATACAGCTGAGTGTTCTCAGGTGGCTCAGCCTTCTGGCTCTCCTCCTGAATATGAGAGGCGCGGAAGGCACGAGAGTCCAGAGAGTGACCTTGAGGGCTGACAGGCCCTCTCGTGGAGGATGTTGGTGTTAAAAAACGGCGGGAATGCCTTTGAAAAGTTACTGGTGAGGGTATATTACTGCTGTTACGCATGATTGGGATCCCTTAATTTTTCGACACATGCGATGTTTTAGGTTTAGATTAAACTTTCCATGTTTTGGATCAAACATATGATGTTTTGGATAATATATGCAAAACAGGTTTCCGAATGGATCCTAATTTAAATTCAATGAATAATGTCCTCAGATGGTATTATCAATTTAATAAAATAGTATATTACGCAACAAGTGCGTAATGGGTTTTTTGGCCCGTGGGAAGTTGTAAAACGAGCCGAAGGTGAGTTTTACAATCCCACGAGTCAAAGAACACCATTACGCACGAGTTTCGTATACTATTTTATGTCATAGGGCCCAGAATCCGCGATTCTACCGAGCGAAGCGAGGTTAGAATCGCGTGATTCTTGGCACCTATGGCATAAAATTCATTCTATGATGATCATTCGTGAATGCATCTTTCGATATATATATCACACATAATCTAACAGAGCGAAGCGATGTTAGAATCGCGGTTTATCGGACCTAATGACATGAAAAAAGATTCAATTCCGTCCGTTCATTAGCGAACAATTGAAGGAAAACTTTACCGCACACATACATACATAAACACGTACGGACATGGTCTAAAATAGTATATTATGTCATCAGGCGATAAAAGTATTATCTGGCGAGTGTGGCATTATAATCCGAGTCGAAGGCGAGGATTATAATCACATTCGCCAGATAATGTTTTTATCGCTGTGTGACATACGATATTTTATGTCGTTGGACCTGAAAACCGCGATGTAACCGAGCGAAGCGAGGCAACGCTTCATCGTTCTCACAAGAGACGTTTAAATTGACCGCGCTACCCCCACCCGATCGGTACTTGGGATGTTGCTGCTCGTTTGGGCTGCGTGCGCAGAAATTTCATTTTTCAGTACTTTTTTCGCTATTATTAACAAACAATGCTGCTAGGCGACAATCTTTTTCACTCAAAAAATCATTGATCACATGTTCTAAGTGTGTCTAAAGTTTCATGAATTTGGCTGCATTTTTTCTTTGGCTTTTGCAGTTTTTTTTGTGATTTCCATAAGATCACGGGATAAATGACCACTTTTTCAAAAATTCATAATAAATTAACCATGCTTCCCAGCAATCTGAAACTTTACACACGCTTTTCCATCATTTGAAGAATACGTTAAAAAAAAGAAAAAATGGCTGCTTTTTTTCTAACCTTCCGGTTTCGCCCGATTATGCTTAAGTTCACTGAGGTTAACCAGTATACGAAAACCGCCATAAGAAATTAGAAAATCAAAGAATTATGGTTTGACGTACCTTTGGAGTCTTTAAATTCTAACTTTTATCAATTCTTTTCATAATTTTATCTTCTTAGGACTCGAACAATTTGTTACACGTATAATCTCAATTTTACACTGCGATCTGCAGTCATACCTAAAGTCTATCAAAGTAGCACATAATTCTCCAGACTGGAATGGAATTCAGGCGAATCGACGCAATGGATGCTATTCAATGATGCAGTATTGGTTCTGACAGACTATGTCAGTAACCGAGACCAGTTTCCATTGGGTTTCAGTCTCTCCATTCCGTAGCAGAAAGCGGGCTTCCGCATGAATCAATGATTATTATTGATTATGCACAGGAAAAACAAATGAATTTCACACACCTTTTGTAGACACTTTTCAGACACTAAAAAAAATCTGAATAGAATGAAAATTAGTCTAAATTTCAGGCGAACAGGTGTCTAAACATCTCAAGTCATGTTTGAAATTCAGACAAATTTTCATTTTATTCAAACGTTTTTTAGTACCTAAAAAATGTCTACAAAAGGTGTGTGAAATTCAGACATTCATTTTTGCTGTGTTGAGGCTTCAGTGGTAGTTTTTGCAAGAGATCATTGGCATTGTGGACTGAGTGAATTAGGGACATATCTGGGGGATTCCCCGTGCTCATTCCCGCGCTCTCTGATATTACTTTTGAAATATCCCCTGTGGATTAGGATTAATATGTCTTGATGTAATTTATATTCAACTTTTTATCAATAGACTACGCAAGTCTATCTCGCATACAACGAATCTATAAAACTATAGGCGACTGCAAAAATTTACGACAGTAATTGTAATAATAAATTGAAAAAAAATAATCCTGCGGTAACTTTACTTCAGGAGTGCCCGTTGATAATTCATTCACCTAAGAGACAAGTGATTTTAGATTATGTCAAAGATCTGCTCTGACTGATGTTCTTTATGGCAACATTTCTCCAATTTTAATAATGCAAGAAGCTTTTTGCCTCTCAAAGGCCAACAGAGATTAATTCTAAAACACATCTGGTTTCACCAAACATATCACGAAAGTAGTTATGGATCCTCAGCTTTTCTGCATTTTTTACAATACAAAATATTCGATAGAGAAAATGAGTGGAATTCTATTTTTCTATAAAACTTTTTTTATTCAGATAGGACAAATCAATAGCGAAGTGGTAAAACGATTTAAGTCGATTTTGACTATTGATCATTTTTCAATGGATATCTCGGAATCTAAGGTAGATACCAAAATTTTTGTCAAAACCTCTTTTGTAGAGCAAATGAAGAGCTACCAAAAAGGTCTGTTTGAAATGCAGCAATCAGTTAAACGGTCGGTCTACCGATTATCCTCGAGCACTATCGGGAACCTTCGGGTGGAGCGGTCAGGGGATCGCGAAACCCCCAAAAAATAGTTGAACTCTAGCCATTGAGTAGATCGCACGCATATTCAATTTAAATACTTTCGTTCTGTACATCACCATTCTGTTGATTAAATTCAGTTGTTTAAATTCAGTGACGCACCAAATTAAATTGTAAAAACAATTGTCAGTGAAATCGGACTATCAACAGTGAAATTATATTACCAAAGACGTGTATTTTAATAGTTAATTACGTGGGTTGATTCCACAATAAATGGTGATTTTTTAAACCGGCTAATAGTGATTTTTCCAAAATCTCCCTCCACATTTTCATCCCACATCCATTCTAAAACTAGTCATTCTCCAAACAAGGTCTTTACGAAAATTTTGTTATCTCCCTTCGATTCGGAGATATTCCTCAAAAACTTAGCTGAGAGCTAAGTCAACTTGAACCGTTTTACCGATTCGCTACTGAAATAAATGGAGGAAAAATAAATAAATGGAGTCGAATCAAAGCTGAAAATTTATATCGAGAAGTTTCTATAGAAAATATCTCAATAGATGATGGGAGCCGACAAATCATTCATACGAACATCCTCATCAGAATTTGTGTCATTTTCTATACATATTGATTGTGCACTTTGTTTCTTCTCGTTATGAAAATGATCAGTTTGCACATGTACGCGCTGATAATTATTACTTGTACTCGCTTGCGGCGATTGTCTGGTAAGAAACCTGTCATGGCCCTCGTAGCGTACTTTTTTCACCTTAGGCATATTCAATGGCTCTTGATGTCGATCTTTTACAGCACGATCATCTGTATCTGAAAAGGATTCAACTAATATGATGGAGGGTGGTGATTTTCCAAGTCTCAACCGTTTTTTCGATCTCAATTGAGAATTAGCATCATCCCCGACCTTTGCTAAATTGGCGTCTTCATTAGAAGCAATCTTCCGCGTACTCTTGTCATCTCTGTTGACTTTACCCACTTTTAGTTTTTGAAGGGATTGGTTCATTTCACTTGGAAGTTGAGATAAAAGTAGGGAGTATTTTGCTGGATCAGTGGCGACTGCCAATACCTCATCACTGTTCAAGTCGATAATCATATCTGGTGGGTCTTTCTTCTGTGAGTCATAAACTACTCTCTTGATCGTAGAATTTTCATTCTTTTGTTGGAAAAGTTTCAATCTCCCTCGAGACTTGGTAGTTGTAGGGAGGTGAGGTAGTTCATCACATCCAACAGGGTTCATAGCTTTACTCGTGGTGTTGGTTCTCTTGCAATTTCCACGATTAATCCAATCACTCTTTCGTGAAACATGTTGGGATTTTTGTGGTTCGTCCCAGGATGTATTCTGCTTAGCAGCATTGGGGTCTTTTTTATAATTTGTTTTCAATTCCTCGGACGATTCATGGTTCATGATACGACAAGTTGCAGTGATAGCTGGTTGTTGAAAAAAAGTGTAACTCTCTTGTGAGATCTAGGCTGTTGTCAATTTCACATTTATTTTATTTTTATATGGTTCAATCTTCTTTGGTCTATTCTTGATTTGTGTTTCTGTAACGAAATGAATGGGCATTGTTTTATCGAGAACTAGGATAATTTATTGCAAAACGATTTCGTTAGAAACAATTTAAAGAGCAATCGTATTAAATCTGGTTATTCATGAGAATATTTTGATAGTGAAGTAGTAACATAGAATCCATCAAGTTTAGCATCTTTGTTTACTCATGAAATGATGTATAATTGATTGTCAATGATCTATCAATGATTGTTTTTAAGAAAAAATGCCAATGAATTTATCTACGAAAGCGTAAGGTAAAATCGACACTTTTGATTGTTTTTTAAATGTTTATGACTTCTGAGCGAATTTATCGATAGTTGGAATCAACGTTCACCCGGCTAAAAAATTCGATTTTGGCGAAAATCCACTTGCCCCGGAAAACCCGAAAATCTGACCCTTTGGCTGGGGCCAAAAAAAACGGTTTCTCAGTTTTCATTTTTTCCACATACTTTTGACAATTCTGACTAGCCCGGCTCTTAAATAGTTGGAATCAACGTTCACCTGGCTAAAAAATTCGATTTTGGCGAAAAACCCAAGAACTGACACTTTGACCCTTGTGACCCTTGGACTTACTTTCCCCCCGGAAAAATCCAAGATCCGACACTTTGGCC